TCCAGAAAATGTAAGTCAAATCCAGCAACCGAAGCAAGTTTTGAGATTGTTCGTCCCTTGATGCATCATCCATGCAAGTTTGGTTCAGATAGGCCTTATAGTTACTTGGAAATGAGATCTACTCCAAAAACTTTAACCTGGTCACTCATCCAGAAAATTTAAGTCAAATCCAGCATCCGAAGCAAGTCCAGTAGTGTGCATCCTTAGATGTATCATCCATGCATGTTCGGTCAATATAGGGTTTATAGATACTTGGAAATGACATCTGATCCAAAAACTTTAACCTGGTCACTCATCCAGAAAATATAGGTCAGATTCAGCATCCGAAGCAAGTCCAGTAGTGTGCATCCTTAGATGTATCATCCATGCAAGTTTGGTCAATATAGGGCTTATAGTTACTTGGAAATGAGATCTGCTCCAAAAACCTTAACCTGATCACTCATCCAGAAAATATAGGTCAGATCCAGCATCCGAAGCAAGTCCAGTAGTGTGCATCCTTAGATGTATCATCCATGCAAGTTTGGTCAACATAGGGTTTATAGATACTTGGAAATGACATCTGATCCAAAAACTTTAACCTGGTCACTCATCCAGAAAATATAGGTCAGATTCAGCATCCGAAGCAAGTCCAGTAGTGTGCATCCTTAGATGTATCATCCATGCAAGTTTGGTCAATATAGGGCTTATAGTTACTTGGAAATGAGATCTGCTCCAAAAACCTTAACCTGGTCACTCATCCGGAAAATATAGGTCAGATCCAGCATCCGAAGCAAGTCCAGTAGTGTGCATCCTTAGATGTATCATCCATGCAAGTTTGTTCAATATAGGGCTTATAGTTACTTGGAAATGAGATCTACTCCAAAAACTTTAACCTAGTCACTCATCCGGAAAATGTAGGTCAGATCCAGCATCCGAAGCAAGTTCAGTAGTGTGCATCCTTAGATGTATCATCCATGCAAGTTTGGTCAATATAGGGCTTATAGTTACTTGGAAATGAGACCTGCTCCAAAAACTTTAACCTGCTCCAAAAACTTTAACCTGCTCCAAAAAACATTAACCTGGTCATTCTTTAGCTGAAATTGCAGCATCTGAAACCTTGACTGGTACAATAAAACACACTAGAAGCATCCTCCATGCATCTCTGACTAATATAGGCCATAGAAGTACTTGAAAAGAAAACTGCTCCAAAAACCTTAACCTGGGACGCCGACGCCGACACCGACGCCGAGGGTATTACATAAGCTCCCCCAACTTCGTTGAGGTGAGCTAAAAATGAATAGGCGAATTCTGTCAATGTTGAAGAAATACAGATAAATATAGGATCTCCCATGATTTGTAGTTGGATATGATTTTTATCCAATGAGTTGTGTGTTTTTTATCCCCGAGCCTTGGCGAGGGGATAAAAACACACAACGAGTTGGATAAAAGTCATATCCAACTACAAATCATGGGAGATTCTTTTTATCCCATGTTTAATACTTCACAACGAATGTTTTACACTGTTTATACAGGACTCCACTTCATATTACTTCATCACTCTAACGCAAAAACCATTGTGACGTCACAACTGCACTTAACTGTGGAATATGAAAAAAATTATCCAATGAGTCATATCCACGGAATAAAGGGGTAAACATGGGATAAACCTATATATTGTATAGTAAAACCGTAATTTGGGCCGATCTACCAACATTCAATAATGAAGTTAAACATGTTAAAGACGTGCAAGAAAACAAACTATAGGAACTTAGGAGAAGAACAAGAAAGGAAGTGATCTGCAGGGACAATTTACGGAAATAACTGACTAAACAATCTCAACGTATACATGTGCTTTTTCAATCTGCGCTATACAGATTATATGTAGTTTTACATGTAATACGACTGCGTTTTTTTAATCAAGGTTGTCTCCATTGGTTCAGTACTTTCAGTCTTTAGATTTTAATAATGCCGGACCGTCTTGACCTTGGTTGAGAATGAATGTGTTCTCATTAAATTGTTGCGGTTAAAAAAGAACATCGAACTGTCTATTTAAATCAAGTAAGAACATTCTTCAAATTAATACTATGCACCTTAGTTGTCTGTGGTTAGTTAGCTACAAAATAAGTATCCGGAATTCTTATCAAACTTGATCTGAAACAGAGTTACGGATTACCAAGGAATTTTTAGCTAAGAATTTTACAGTAATAAAAAATAAATAAATACATTTGGCCATTAAAATCAAACCAAAAACTTTATAAATTTATTGATATACAGAAACTTAATCTTTCTATCTTTCTAAATGCTTTATTCTGGTCAAAAATTTTATTCTGGCCTAACACATAAGGTTATTTCTAAATTTCAAATGATAATTGCAAATAAATATGGGTTTTTTAAGTAATTAGAATGAATATAGCAAGTTTAATTGAAATATTTACATTTGCAAATATTTTTCTTAGATGAACCTATTGAAGAAAAAATATGTTCAATTCTGTATGAACGTATTAGGGGGTCAGAGGTCATGGCGTGACCGAATAACACAGCGAGATGATATCTTGTCCACATATTTCTGTCACGGTGACACTGGTTTCGGAACTTCTTAGCCGTTAAAGCGACGAAAAAGATAAAATTATTGAAACATATATGTTTTTCTTCGTTCAACAAATGATCATTAGTTCTTTCTTCAGTGTGAAGAATGTTTTTAATTAGCCTTAAATCACGCTTACAATTCCTCCGAAGTTATGTAACTGAAGACGATACCACCCCTTTTGACTTCATATATTAAGAACTCATACAATAATAGTAAGATTATTCTCAGTAGCGATCATGGATTTTTCATTATGAACATATATTTCCTGAGCTGGACTGCTGAACATCAATGTATATAAGTATTCAAATCTTGGAGCGAGGCGAACTCTCAAGACCAAACAGCTTTTAGGTCATTGCGCGTCACAACATAGCAATACGGCGGCCCGTTCGTGTAATAAATGCAGTTCTTTTCAGAATATTCGTCTCAAATGTAAATAAAAGTAATAAACAACAATGTTAAAAAGTTCACTGGGAAATGAACTTGGTTGGTACGTGATCAAATCTTCTGAGAAGCCCTTCGGACTTCACAGGATTTGATCACGTGACCAACCAAGTTCATTTCCCAGAGAACTTTTTAACATTGTTGTTTATTTCTTAAGTATTTAGAAATGAAGGGAAGTATATTTAAATTATTAAGTTGACTAAAGTTTGATTTGAAATTTCTCTTTGATATCAATACATGTATATTGACAAAGGTCCTGGCCCTCCCTCTCCAGTTACTTCCGATATTTTCATGACTTTGACATTATAAAAATAATGGGGGGGGGGGGGGGGCATGCCAAGTACCTTGCTGAAAAGTAGTAGCTGTTACATATACCAGGATCAATAGGGAAAAGAAATATCCTCTTGTTTATCACCAAGTTGGTATGACCAACCATACCAGTTATGAGTAATTAAGATGTGACATAGCTGACCAAATCAATTAATGTTTCACGTATTGTGTAAATGTACAGAGTATAAAGTTCAGTGTTTTGGTTTCTTACAGCGTTGAGAATTTGAGGAACAATATATTAACTCTCTCGATCTCTCATACATATATGTATGTGTGAACAAGAGAAGGTTGCACTTTAAAATATGCACGTGTCGCCGCAGCACTCTGGATTTTTTTTTTTTTTTTTTTAGGAGCGAGTTGGAAATTTAGAACAAAACACGACGTTAATTTTAGAGTAAATGATCACGAAACACCTGTATGAAGGTAAAGTTAAAGTCAACTCTTTGTTTTTCAACGAAATTAATATATTGAAATTCGATATTCATTTTCTTGAAATTAATTTTTATATTAAAATATTTTCATATATCCTCTGTCGTTTTCAAGTAGACACCACTTGCTTCAGTTTTGCATTATACACAGTGCAGTTATCCTATACACTTTTATTTATTTCTTCGAACAAGGCCGTAACTAGGCTCAATTTTTTAGTGAGGCAAGAGCTCTGGGGGCCAACCAAGTCCCAAGCGGAACCAGGGTAGAGTCTAGATGAGGGTTCATCGAGGAAGACGCGGAGGGAGTTCCCGAATCCTGGGTTTTAGCAAATTAAAAACATCATCTTTGAAAGTTTTCAAGTGTAGATTTTTTTTCACATGCGTTCTAAACAGTGAGACGATCGATTTACAGAAATTGAAACAAAAGTTAAAAATATTAAATTTCAAAGTAAAACTTTTTCACTTTTCAGAAAACTCTAAAATTTTAGTGAGGCATCTGCCTCACTTGCCTCAATGGTAGTTACGGCCTTGTCGGAGTACTACGTACTGCAATGCATCGAAGGGGAAAAAATCAAAACGTTTAAATAGCAAATCGTCATTTCAGAATTTAAAGTAATTTATGTCATTCAATTATATTTTTTTCAGTCAACAATATGATTTAAAAAAAAAAAAAAAAACTACCCATGCAGTCTACATAACTTGGAGGAGATATAAATAAACTGATGAGGCATATCATGCAACAGTGAACTGATAACCACTGTCGAGTATACTCTGAGGCTAAACCCTCTACATGTAACATGTGTACAATGTTTGTCTGAAAGAGCCCAGGACCCAGGACATTGCCAGCTTAAGATGCCCCCTGATGACCACCCCCCCCCCTCCCTTTTCCATGATAAAGCCGAACTGTCATATCTTATTCTTTGTTTTCCTTACTCTTGGGGTGGGGATGGGGAGGGGGTAAGGACTTTTAAGTCTATATATGTGATTATGAATATACATGATGTACATAATTATTTAAATATTTATGCAGGCGTCTATGACATATTGATACTTTCAAAACAAACATCTATAAATTTTAATGTGTGAAATGCATAATCCTCTCAACGTTATCTACTCTATATATAAATACGTGTATTGTTTTTATAAATTATTTACTTGGCTATATAAGCTCAGATTGTGCGACAATACTTCACACATAAAGTCTGTCATCCCGGATCGACATTTAACGTTATCATTTCTAATTTTACGTTGCTTTTTCTGGAAAGTCGCAGTGCTCGCATGTCAGTTGTCAATGCTGTAGGGCTACCTTGAGATTGTAATTCTTCCTGATTACAATCGTTTAGAAGGAGACACTTAACTTAGTGGAATCAATATGCCGAAATCATCACGTCCGCCGTGCTATTTGGTTAAATATTCATCACCCAACTGTCAAGGTAAAGCCACGAGGAATTCCGCATGAATGTAAACATGGCCGAGGTGAGGAGCGTACGTGACGGAGCGAACATCCCCATGGCGTGTCAGTTATGCAGCTCCGACGAGCGGCTCATGGTATGCTCAGGGTGCAGGAGAACTTGGTATTGTTCCAAAGAGCACCAAAAGCTGGACTGGAAGTATCACAAGAAAAACTGCAAGCGGATGAGAGAGGAGGAGGGTGAAACCAAACACAAGCATGGCATCACGTTAACTCCTTCTTCGTTGGATATTCCGCGCTACAAAGGTGATGGCATCGCTCAAAAACTGTCAGCCGAGGCCATGACCCAGAACATGAATAAAATGAGCCAAAGTTTACATGATGATTTAAAGCTGACAGATGATAAACCTATCAAGAAGAAAATATCAGAAGAGTTCTACACAAATCAGTCAAGCAGTTCAGAACGTACAGTACTGACAGATGAGGGAAGTTCAGAGTCGTACATTCTTCATTCAGCCGAGTCTGCATTAAACGAGCCTGTGTACCACAAACCCCCTGCCCAAATCTCGTCCCACAGTCAAGAACTACGTTACACACCCTCCGTCCGATCTTACGAAGATGAGCCTGTGGACAACATGCATGCATACCTCAGTGTTCTAGAGTCTAGAAATGAAATGTTAGGGGATTACGTTGTGAAGTGTCTCCATACTTATGGAATTTGTGTCATGGACAACTTTTTAGGAGAGACAAAAGGATTATCTATTCTGGCAGAGGTAAAGACACTTCACAAGATGGATAAAATGACAAGCGGAGAACTTGTCAATCGCAGTCTTGGGTCAAATGCGCAGCGAATCCGTGATGATTTGATCACTTGGGTGGACGGACGTGAAGCAGGCTGCTCAAACATTCAGTTTTTAATTTCATCCATGGATGCAGTGATTTTAAAATGCACTAAGAAACTGAAAGACTGTACCATTAATGGTCGTACAAAGGTATGCTTTAAGTTTTCTGGTGATAAAGTGTTTGTAAGAGTATCTCTATGATGTCGGTAAAAATTGTAAAGTATTGTTGTTTTATGCACTTTTACCTCTCCTGCTTATACATCATTGATTGCAGAAGAGCTTATGCATTATGTTGTATCTGTCTGTCTGTAAGCATTTTTTTTTCCAAAATGCTAGTACTCCCTCTACAAGTTTTATCTGATGTTAGTAAAACTATGCACACAAGGAGACTTAATTAACCCAATACATAGTAAGGATTATATCATTCTTGATGTATCATTCCTATTGATAAAATTCAGGCCCGTAGGAAGCAATTTCAGTTTGGGGGGCACAACTATACATTTTCAGTTGAGGGGCACTATCAACTACCAAAAAATTCCTTGACAAGCAAAAAAAAAAAAAAAGTCATCAGAAGTTTTATTGAGGGGGCACAAGCATATAATAGCTATGTTTTCTATAGTCAACTATATATCGGCAAAATTATTGGGGGGGGGCATGGCCCCCCTGTGCCCCCCCCCCCCCCCAGTTCCTACGGCTATGATGTTTCATAGTTACTAAATTAATATATAACAATTAGGGATGTCAACGAATATTCGAACATTCGAATATTCATTCGATGCGTTAATATTCGAACATGAATTTAAGATTCGAATATTCGGTGTTTTTCAGATTTCTCAAAAAAGAGTGCGGAATTATCCCCGTTATTTTTTTTTTATAACTAGCGATCATTTTCGATCGCCTGATTTCTTTCATACTTCTTTCACACTTTCTTATCTTACTAATAGATTTTCTAAATTATTTTGATTCGAGTAAGGTAAAAATAAACAAGAATTATTAAGGTATAATACAAAAAGTACTTTCAATAGCTTGATATGATCGAATAGGACATGAAACTCTTCTTAGCATGTCTAGGGCCGGTACACACGGTAAGGCTTGCCTTGTAAGTCATGGAACTTAAGTTCTAGCCTTACCGTGTGTACACCCTTAATACACGGTTTTTCGAGCCTTACAAGTCTGACTTATGAATAGAGCACTGCTCTATCTCTAAATACAAGACTTAGCTGACCTTTTCTTCTCAGCCAATGAAAACATTCACACAAGTGTCAATCTATTTTTATCAAACCATACAGGTGGGTTAATTGAAGTAAACAAAAAGTATTTTCAAAAAAGTTTATGAATGTATCTACAAATACACTGTTAATCTCTTCCTCTTTTAAGAAGCATTGGTCAGTAAAATTATTACAGCGCCCTAGTAATATCGTCTTCTACTTTAATGAATGAATGCACTGTTAAAGATTGAAAAAACGTGGAATATATGGAAATATTGTTTATAATTTTGTAAGTCTTGCCTTAGCGTGTGGACATGAAAGCCGTACGGCCTGCAAAAAGGTAAAGTTTTAGACTTATAAGACAAGCCTTACCGTGTGTACCGGTCCTAAGAGACATGAAGAGTAAACCTGTGAAAATAATTTTTTTTAATCTATGATAGAATCAGTCTGTTGTATCTTTAAGGGTTCAATTATGCATCAATTAATTGATTATCTTGGGTTGAATATATTCCTAAATTTTAAAATCATTATCGGGACGCTAATGACCTATAAAAATAGTCTATGGAAGTGTTTGTTTAATTTAAACATATATTTTCAAAACATTGTATCAAAGAGTAAATATCTCTTATTAGGCAGGTAATTGTAATTAATTACATGTATTCAAATCTGAAGAGTTAGCGACAATCTTGCCCCTGGTTAGACGACTGGTTCGTCAGTTTGAGCTTGTATTAATATTCTTTGTTAAAATCATATTTCGGTTGTATACGCTAAAATCAATTAATTATTTCAAACACTGACAAATCTCAAATGTAGAATTCTTAGTATACACCTTCAAAGCTCTACATCCAGCTTTACTTCCAAAAACCGACGCAAAACCTGTCATGAGAGTATGATGATGCACATTTAAAATAAACCAGATTATATCTATTTTACCGAATATTCGAATATATTCGAATACTTTCATCGAATATTCGAATATGAATTATTAACAAAATTGACATCCCTAATAACAATATGTAGTATTCTCCCAAAAATCTCTAGACTAGAATGTTTTCTCAGATTTTAGCAAAATTATATTTCAGACCATTATGTATATATGACAGAATCTATTAAAGGTATACATGGAATATAGGCAGAAATTCTATTTAAAAAATTAACGAATGATTTTATATTTTTAAAAGTTCTTTATCATGTTTATTGGAAATTACTTTTATCTTTGATTGCATTGCAAAGATACTGAATTCTTATCACAGTTGTTTTCAGGTCTCGAGTAAATGCACAATTTGAATTGCACCACTTACGTCACCGTTTAAAAAATGTTTTGTCTTTTCTGGGCTTTCTCACATGATCATTCACATTTATCATGTATTCTTGTTTTGCAATGACATTCAAAAGTGTGTCCTTAAAGATAATGTAGCTAGCCCTTAGACACAGCGAGTCATATATATATACAGTTGAACTTTGGTATCACCAACACCAATATCTCAAATACCATGGATATGTCGAAGTGATTTGGAAGTCCCAATCATTTTTTCTTTATGTATTTTAACCTCAATATCTCAAATCCTCAGACTTCTAATTCCCATCGAGTTCGAGATAACAAGGTTTGACTGTATATTTCATTTATATTTCATTTCATTTATATTAATTTGTCAAGTTTGAAGCTTGAACATGTTGAAAGCTTGAAAAAATTTATCAAAAATATGAGTTAATTAAATGAAGATTTTACAAACTCAATTACACTCATTTGACAAAGTATGCAAAATATAAGTGCCAGTAGGGAAGGTTGTATCAACCACACCATTGCTATTGTCTATGTCACATGACTTTTATTTATAGCACAAACATGAAATCAGCTACAGCATACAGTTAAAGAATGTGTTTTGATTATATTATATTATAAATCCTTTGTCTATGGTCATTCAGTTCTTTGGACTTAAGACCATTGGAAGTTGTTTGTTTTCTGTGTGTGTAATCAAACAGAAGGGAAGAGCAAGCAATATTTTCATTTTGAAGAAACAGTAATTTTTCTTTGGCATTAAGAAGATTTCTTTTAGGTTCTGAAACTTGCAGTTTTATAAAACATTTCAAATCATTTCAAGAATTAGAAAAAAAAAACTTGCATGAGCCATCCAAATATTTTATTTTCAAATTTTCTTTTTTGCATCACTATGTCACTTGAAAGATCTTTATTATGATAATGGTATGTCAATCTGATTAAAATCAGATCCTTTGATACGCTCACTTAGATAGCTACACAAGGATCTGAAGAAACCCCATTTAGGGTCATCTCCTGTTGACCCTTCTAATAAAAATATTCATTAAAATTTTAACCAATCAGAGATATCGTACTTGAGCGACATTCGGAAAAATGAATGTAGAAGTTAAAGTAGCTGTGGAGAAGATCTTACCGTTTCATACAAAACAAAGAGCTAAAAAACAAGGCAAAAGCAAATACTAAATATATTTCTGTACAGAAGACTGTGGTCATTCGGAAACCAGGTCATGATTTGCCGTTCGTGCATCATGGGTCTTTCACATTTGTAACTGAATTCCGAGATACTTCCAAATTCTCTGAAGTAAACGTTTGATTGGATAATTGAAAGGTCACCAGGAGATGACCCTGAATGGGATTTCTTCAGATCCTTGTGTAGCGATCTATGTGAGCGGATCAAAGGATCTGATTTTAATCAGATTGATGGTATGTTATGTAGAAGTAGTAGATCTTGATATTGTAGTGTTTTTTAGATGGTTGGTTTGCTGGTAGGTCTTGACACTGCTTTGTTTTAGATGGTAGGGTTGCTGGTAGGTCTTGACACTGCAGTGTTTGAGAAGGTGGAAGGTAGTCTTGACACTGAAGTGATTGAGATAGTAGTAATTAGGCTTGACACTGTAGTGGTTGAGATAGTTGAGGTGCTTGAAGCTGCAGTCCTTTAGATGGTTGGGTTGCCGGAAGGTCTTGACACTGTAGTGTTTGAGAAGGTAGAAAGGCTTGACACTGTAGTTGAGATGGTGGTAGTTCTTGAAACTGTAGTGATTGAGATGGTAGTAGGTCTTGACACTGCAGTGCTTTAGATGGTTGGGGCTGGTAGGTCTTGACACTGTAGTGATTGAGATGGCGAAAGCTAGTCAGTTGACACTGAAGTGATTGAGATAGTAGTAATTAGGCTTGACACTGTAGTGTTTGAGATGGTGGAGCTGGTATTAGGTCTTGACACTGCAGTGCTTTAAATGGTTGAGATGCTGATAGGACTTCACACTGCAGTATTGAGATGTTGAAAGCTAGTCTTGACACTTTAGTGGTTGAGATGGTTGAGATGGTGGTAGATCTTGACACTGTAGTGTTTGAGATGGTTGAGCAGTGTACGAAACTCGGAAAAAGATTCAGGTGGACCAGCAGGGCTGACTACTCAAAAAGTCTGTCAGCCCTGCTGAAAATTAATAAGCCCACATAATAAAATTCCGTATGAAAGGTATGCACACTCAGACTTCTACTTTTTTTTTTTTTCACATCCACTGCAATTTCATATACAGTAATACGAAGATTCAAATTTTATTCATTGTTCACTTTCATTATGAAGTTGGGAAAAATAAACATCAATCGATCATGAATGTGATGAAATACACTTTCAATTGCTAATCTGAAATACATGTCCTATGTTGTCATTTTTTTCTAGTTTTATTACATTTATAATACATCGATAGGTTTGATAGATACATGTATGGCCATGATAATATTTAATAATATAAATATTCACATGTATATTTAACAAAGATGTTAGGAGTCTCCTTGATTTTAATTGAAAGGAGAAAAAAATTACAATTTTAAATTTCAGTACCTAAGAGCAATTTTTAGCACAACATATTGTTATTAAACTGATATTTTTTTAAAAAGGTGAATGTGTTTCATTTTAAACATAACATTTCTATTAAATTATTGAT